ACCATGTTTATGGAGAAATAACCCAGGTGAGGGCAAGAGTTTGTATTGTTATCCCTTCAGATAAGAGGAAAACATAAAAAAGCAAGCTTCCTCTTTAGCTTTCATCTCACATTATTGGTCAGGGAATGACATCCATGCGCACGAAATGCATACTGAGAACCTGGAAACGTAGTCCCTGGTATGATCAAAGCTGCCCCTGATGCATGCAAAGCATCCCGTGTACTAAAGCATGTGTTGAAGCACAGTATGTATACCATGTCATACACTGCCATACTAGCGTATGATAACAAAAAATTGGTCGAGACTCACAGTCTGTTGTCAAGTTGCATGCAAGGCCTCCACGTGGATGTCAGGTTTGTGGCTATACTTGCAGAGCAGCATGGGAAAAGCTGTGTAAATAGAGCAAGCCATTTTCTGAAGCTGGAGAGACGCAGTCTTGATATACTGTTTCCTACCAGATTAAGACCTTGAAGGTGACTATAAATGTTAGAGATCCTTGGTTCAGAAAAGCATCTGGAAGCTTGGGTGCATATAATGTCACTTCTCCAGCTGGATAGGAAACTCATAAAAACAGGCTTCCTTAAAAAATATTTCATAGTCCCAAATACCAGGCAATGTTGTCATGCCCAGAAATCCTGCTGCGTTTGGTATTCCTGCTTTTACATAAATTTATTCCTGGAAATGGTGAAATGAGTGCAAGTTTAAAAAGGAGGATGAAGCAGTGCAAAAACCTTGGCAGGAGTTTGATTTTTGAAATCAGGTTGAATGTCAAGAAGCACTTTCTCCTATCAGTTCATTTGATTTTAGGATTCCCAGCTGACCTGAGATGTATTGTGCTTACTCTATGTGATTAGAAAAGAAGTAGTTTGTGGACCTGAATATGCCTTTAGTCTCTCAAGTACAAATCAGGAGTAAGGTAAAATTAGTGTGACAATGAGACCCATATTTTTTTCAGTTACATCTCAGTCTAAAGATTATATTGTGGGAGTGGGAGAAAAATACAAACTAGTAAATCACATGTGCTGCTTACACATTGAATTGCTTTCCTCAAAGTTAAATAAATTGGGAGAACCTCTATAAAATGCAAGAATGTCTTTTATATATGGATTAATGAATCGTTTCCAAGGAAAGAAGTTAAAATTGTGATTTAATCAAGGCTATTCTGTTCTTTGTTTTCAGACAGGATGTGCACTTCCTTGAGGGCATCTGAAACTTGTCTGTAGATACAAAGTTGTCACTCTTTTATACAAATAATTAAGTACTGAAGCCATTAAGAGAGTAAAAGAGCAATTGATCAAGAGCAAAAAGATCTTTTTGATCATTGTCTTTTTCACTCAAAATATATTCTAATTCATTCCTGATACCAAGTTGTCCTGATACAGTGCATTATTAGCTAGTCTCATTATTGAGACCGTTGTCAGTGGCCTAAGCTACAAAGGCTACAGGTGAGTAGGTATACCCCCCACTAATTCCTATTTAAGAGCTTTTCAGGTGTCCATTTTAGAAACAAACAAAAGCATTATTTGTCTGTTGCAGTATGTGATCTTTTCCTGTGAAAAGCCTGCATTTCTTTCCTCTTAAGGACAGAGCTGCAGAGACTAAATCATTTTCACTGCGGAAAAAAAAACATAAATTGAAGGTTCAGCTTTAGAAAAGAAAGAAACAAGAACATGCTTTCACGTTTCCTAAGGCCATTTTACAGAATTTCTGCTTTCCTGGACTTTTAACAGTCTGTAGCAGATGAACATACAGTTTCTTGAGTATATATTAGCTGAGAATGCTAGTTAAGCCTAACTTCCTAGATCAAGATCCTAAATACAAGCCTCTGATATGCGAGACTTTCAAATACAGACCAGAAAGCTGCTGCAGCACCAGGAGAGTGTGGAGGCTGCAGCTGAACAAGCGGGAAATCTGGTTCTTGTTCTTCATGAACAGATCACAGTCCAATCTTCTCTGTTCATTTCTGTATGGTAAATAAGCCTTCCCAATTTAAGAAATTAAACCATCTGCTTTGTTACAAGTAATTTATTTTCCATTAGGTCTACAGGACATCCTTTTTTCCTGGTGCTGTGTTGCCGCCTTTAAAGTTTTGGATTGATAGTAATAGAAATTTATTTTAGTTCTTCTTAAATAGGGATAAAGAGGTTTATATGAGCATATACTGAGTAAATGCATGTGTGTTCTGATTAATGAATTATCCATTCAGTGCTACAATAATTCACTTTATCTCTAACCATTCCCAGTCATTTATATAGTGACATTTATTAGCAAGCTGCCAATTGCATCACCCTTACATTATTGTTCTCATTACGAATTATACTTTCAATAATTCTTTAGTGCTGGGTCTAATCAATAAAGAAAAATGGATGGTGCCCATGAAGCATTTATCCTTATCTTAATTCTATATCCCTAACGTCATTGCCAATAGCACAAGAGTAGATACAAAACACTTTAACTGGAGTCCTTTCCTTTCATACATTCTCTTGTCCCCTTTTCTCTCTTGTATGCCAGTATCCCTGAGTTGTTCTGTAAAAGCAAAGGATGTTTCCCTGTTAATGACTATTTAAATAACAGATTTATATTGCTGTTGTACTTGCTTTTTTTCTGTCCCAGACAATGACTATGAATTAATTAGCATTAGAAAACTGGAAATTCTCATGAATTTTAACATTTTATTTGGAACATTCTGTGTGCATTATTGAATGATTTTACACCTCCTAATGCAAAACTGATTGTATCTCTACAAACCTCTGGGGAAGTGTGTGAGGTCATTACTGTTAGATTTGCAAAGAAAATATGTGGATTTCTCTCACGTTATTCTTTCCTGTGCAGATAATGCTATTTTTGAGCTGTTCTTCAGAGTGGCTCATTTTTATTAAAAGATTCTCTTATCCTTTATCCTTTTCATGTACCTTTCCAAACTTTTCATTTCATAAAGGAAATGAACTGTGTTTTTTCAATACTTAAAACATTCCTACAGGAAAATGAGAACTTACATTTTCAGACATTAGTGTTGTCTCCAGAGATAATGGTCACTGAAAGGCAGCCAAATGTGAAAAGCAAATATACATGTCAGAAATGAAAATAACAATTTATACCTTGTTTCCTTCCTGCCTTTATTGCTGATAGTTTATTCTCTCCGTAAAGGAGGATTGCAGAAGTAATGTTGGTGATCTGGCATCCAGGAGTCTGTGTGGGAAGAAAAAATTATGAAGTTTTATTAAAAGATCTCCCTGGAATTCTAAGTTTGCACTATTTTTCTGCTGATTTCTTATTACTATTTTTAAAACAAAGTGGGTTTCAATTCATGGATTTATGGGAGCTCACAACATAATTATCACCCTGGCACTGACTGAGGGAGAAACACTAGCAAACACAGTCCCTCATGAAAGCAGTGAATCCCTCTGTCCTACTTACTGAGCAAAATCTTAGTGTGTTAAGCCAGACAGATTGCTTAAAACTATTTTATTTCCTTCAGCATCAGGTATTATTTCCATAACCTACTTTTTTCTGTTTTAAATAAACTTCTCTTTTTTTTTCAAAAGTGAATAGCAACATGTATTTAGGCTTAAATTTACCACTCTCTATTAACAGATTATAATATTTATTTATAATATTTAAGTAATCTACCCTTGATGATTAAGTTCTAAAGAAAGCTATTGAGCAGGGAGAAAAAATACTGTCTATGCATCAAAACCAAAGGTTGTTGAAATGAGTAAACAGCTTTTAAGAGCAGACAGAAGCAGACGAAAATAAAAAGCTTTTCTTAAAACTAGTTTTAAGTATAAAATGTTTGATATCTTTTCCTTCTATATACAACGTATTTATTGCAATTGTATTTACATAATAAATACACTTGAAAGGCTGGGGTTTTGCATTTCAGTTTAATTCCCATTTCTATCCAAAGCAGCTTTATATGAATTGTAAGTAAAGAAAAATTAATCTTCTAGTAAAGAAAAATTATCATTCATTTCTAACATAATGCTGTGTAAGTGTTAAGCATATGAATAATCACACTGAACTGTATCACTTCTTAAATGGGAACGGAAGATATCTTTCTGATAGTGATGGAAGTAAAAGGTTAGTTTAAAAATCACATTCAGCTGCAAAACAACTTTTTTTAAAGTTTATCTACCGACAGGAATCAAACTCCCTTGAGGAAAAAAGAATAATACACATTCAAAATAAGCATATAAAGGTTTTTATATAAAAAAATGTTTTGTGGGTTTTGTGATTTCAAGTGAATAGGAATTATTTTCACAAAAATAACATTTGAAAATCTCATGAGAAAAAAATTTTTATTGAATTCTTTTTGTGAAAAACATTTGTCAGGTTTTCCAGAAATACTATAGCTCAGTGCCTTATAAATAGTCAACTTCATGATATATGGGAAATAGAACGGTTATATGAACATAACAGGAGCATCTGTACTCAGAATTTTAACTCAGTAGAAAATTCCAACATTTCTAAAATTAATTTAATTTCCAACTCTAAAAACAAAGTTTTGACATTTTCAACTTATTTAAATTCTCTGTAAATGTGGTGGAAATATCAAAATGGGCAATATTTTTTCCATCAACAAGAGTAAGACAGTTAGTTAGGCTTTTTTAATGACTTATCCAAATGAATCAGAAAATTCATATTCTTTCTTTAAGACAATAACCACAGTAGATCCTGTTAAATCACACGGCTAGCAGAAACCTTTTCCAACTTGCTCAAAGTTGTGAATTAATTTGTTTAAAACATGAAACTGCAAGAGAAGCATTTCAGAGTGTAGCTCAATAGCCACAAACTCTTGTTTATGATCATCCAACATTGCAGGGCAATGAAATCTCAGCAGTAAAGGTCCATTTATTCATGCTGGCTGAACTAAAGGAGGAGGCAGAGATTGTATGATGTCAGTAGTAGAGTACACATTTAAAGCAGCAATGATCTCACTGGTTTCAACCAAGTGCTGATATACTAATTATGTCTTAACTACATCTCCTGTTTCTTCCTAGGTCTTACTGCTGCAGCATCTCTTGTATCCCTGGCTTGGGCTTTGGCTTCTTACCAAAAGGCCCTCCGTGACTCCCGTGATGACAAGAAACCCATCAGTTATATGGCTGTTATAATCCAGTTTTGCTGGCATTTCTTCACAATTGCAGCAAGGGTCATTACTTTTGCTCTGTTTGCCTCAGTTTTCCAGCTGTACTTTGGGATCTTCATTGTGCTGCACTGGTGCATCATGACCTTCTGGATCGTCCACTGCGAGACAGAGTTTTGCATCACTAAATGGGAGGAGATAGTTTTCGACATGGTTGTTGGGATAATCTATATATTCAGCTGGTTCAATGTCAAGGAAGGAAGGACACGCTGTAGGCTTTTCATTTACTATTTTGTGATCCTTTTAGAAAACACCGCCTTGAGTGCTCTCTGGTATCTGTACAAGGCCCCACCAATCTCTGACGCATTTGCCATACCAGCACTGTGTGTAGTGTTCAGCAGCTTTTTAACAGGCATTGTTTTTATGCTAATGTACTATGCCTTCTTTCACCCCAATGGACCCCGGTTTGGGCAGTCACCAAGCTGTGCTTGTGAGGACCCTGCCACTGCCTTCACCCTACCCTCAGAAGTGGCCACAAACACTCTGCGGTCCATCTCCAACAACCGCAGTGTCACGAGTGAGCGGGATCAGAAATTCGCAGAGAGGGATGGGTGTGTGCCTGTGTTTCAGGTGAGACCCACCGCACCTTCTACACCTTCATCCCGGCCACCAAGGATTGAGGAGTCTGTCATTAAAATCGATCTGTTCAGGAACAGGTACCCAGCGTGGGAGAGACATGTGTTGGACAGGAGCCTGAGGAAGGCGATCTTAGCATTTGAATGTTCCCCTGCTCCTCCACGGCTACAATATAAAGATGATGCCCTTATCCAGGAGCGCTTGGAATATGAAACCACATTGTAAGCAAACAAAAACACAGCTTGAAGAAGCTACGACGTTACAGTCCAAAATAAGGGTTGACTGTAGGGCTGTAGGAATAACTAAACTGCGTACTACAAATAGAGCAGCAAGCTGTAGTGTTCTTAGTCTGGCTATCATCATGATTATCATTTGATCCACTGTGTGCAGTCTGTCTGCAGGACACTGATACAGCAGCATCACCTGAAAGCCTCAAAAAAACCCAAACCTGGCCCACACATACAGATCAGTTACTTCAGCTGGGGAAATTCACCCACGACGCCGTGCTGCTGTGAAACTCTGACTGCACAGTACTTATAATCAGCCCAGTAGGAAGGCTGTGACCAGAGCCTTCAACTTTAGCCAGTAGTGCATTTTATTTTAGAAATGAATGATTGACATTTGCATAATCAACAGCAAAAACAAGCAAAAACTTTTTCAAAAAGAAACAGAAGTGTAGCACACAGTGTTGCTGTTATGAAAACTGCTTTCTAGGGAAAAACCAGGAACATAGTAGTCTTCAACCCTCCCATAAATCAACCGTTCAGGTTAGAATAGATATGCAAATAGTTCTTAATTAAAAATACATCATCATATTTGTAAGGCTGTCAATGGAAAATAAACTAAATTCTGATTAATTGGGTCATAAACATTAATACTACCAGAACTATTTGTTTTCTGTGGAATTTCAAAGTCTTTTTAAACGCAATTCAAGTTCTTGATGTTACTTCCAACAGAAATCCTATGAAGCTCACTTCTGGTTTTCAGGAGAAATAAGGAGCTCTAGCACGTAGTGATGTAAATTAAATGATAATCATGATTCAGTGTTCAATCTGCAAAAAAACAAAAGTAATATATATATATATGTAAAAGAACAGGGAAGTATAGTTTTCATATTCTAAACTTTTTGGAGGACCCCATTCAGATATATCAGAAGAAACAACAAACAGATGAACACACTGAAACTTCTCTGTTTCAGGACTGAGAATGCATGATTCAGTGTGTGAATGTATGCAGGGGTGACAAGAGACTGTGACATGCCATACCCTTCTAGTGCCAAACGTTGTATAACTGCAAAGTTGCTATTGCCTGAGGGACAGGTAACAAGTGGCACAAGCCCTACCAGAACAAGAAGCAGGAAAGACCAGTCAAGTTCTCAACTTGTAGAGACAGCTCTGATTTTCTCACCCAAGGTGAAAGTGATGTCTTTTAAAGGCTTTCAGCCACCTCTTAGTAAGTATATTCAATGAAGTATAATCTAAGCAAGTTATGTGGAAGACCTCTTCTGCCTGTTCAAGACTTGTGTCCAGATATGTCTAAAAATTAGGTTGAATCTCTTGTAATAGAGTGCTTTTGCTGCAAGCTTTTGGGTTTTAAATACCTCCCTAAATCTAGTCAGTGGTATCTTCCTTTATGTTAAAAGTATCCCCTGATGGTGCTTTCAAATGCATTAAAGGTGCAAGTCAAAATTTGATAGTATTTTTTTTAAAGCTGGTGCAGAGTGAAAAACTCATTAATTATTTCAATATTTTTGTAAAGTAAAAATATGATATCAACAGGTTACTTTTTATAAACCTCAAATCTTTTAATACATTTCATTCTCTTTGTAGCTTAGATTTTAAGAATTGGTCCATGAATTTTATCAACTGGCTTCTGCAGGTTGATATAAAACTGGTTTTCACACATTATGGGTTTGTTTTGCAGTGTAATGCCATATGAAAGCCTACATGGGTACTTTTAGAATACTCTATACACCGTGGATCCTGCTTCAACTGTAAGTGGCTTGTGAAGACACCCAGTGATTCCATAAGAAACAATTTGCTATAACTATTTCCATCCGTTTTAGGAGAGCGAAGCAGAACTGAAGAGTTACTGTTGTAAATGGCATTGTCAGGATGGAGAAGACCTGATGATTGGTATTGTAATCTTCACTGTCAGATAGATCCAGTATAGTCACTGCTGTATATGCTGCTGGGTAAATTTCAGTCTTTCCTATAATTAATATTTGTACTATGAAATGGCCGAGGTTACACAGCCTATGTTTCTTTGTATGCGTTCAACTAGCCATTTTTAATGTTGACTTTTTTTATTAGTGAAATGTTCAATTCCTGTTGTTCTTTGCTGGGGCAAGATCCTCAAAACAAAACATCTGTGAAAGTGCAGGAATCTGCAAGGCAGAGGGAACTTTACACAGATCAGAAAACACCCATGCTTCAAGGGTTTCTTAGGTATTTTCAAATTAAGCAGTGGCCAGCTGCCTCTATAATAATTTTTTAAATAAAGCAATTGTTTGATAGTCCAGACCTGAAGCTTTATACAAAGTGATTGCCCTTCCCTCCATGGAGATAGAGCTGATCATTCAGTGAAAACCACTCATATTTTGTCAGAAAATACACCACTGCAAGAAGTGCTAAAAAAAAAGATTTTGGGAGCAGGTCCTTTGTCCCATCAAATTCAGCAAAGCCTTCACTCCAGAATCAAATGCTAGCTCACGCAAGGAAATTGCTGTTTTTGTTTACAAACAAGGCACATGGTAAATTTTGTAATCCAAGATGGGAGAGTTTCTTTTGGAAACGGTTTGATATGTTTGCTGCAGCTTTTATTTTTTAATTTTCTTTTTAACAATGTTTGTAAAAATGTTTCTGTCAAGCAAACTACTGCGGGGTCTGAGTGCACAGTGCCATATGAGGCACTACATGTGCACACTTTGTCTTCAGAATTCAATCCAGTTGTTTGAGGAAAACAGAAGTCATTTTACACTGAGTCAGAATTTGCTCTCCAAGACCTTGCTCTGTTGCATTCATAACGTCAGTGATACTTGCACTGAAAACATTGGCCATTGAAATCCTAACGCTTAGATGACTGCACGGACAGTTTCTCAATTTGCATTGCTGTGAATAGTCGCATTAAAAGCTGTAATAATTTTTTATAGATGTTACGATTCAACATAGTCCACGTTGAAATTCCATGATGGCCTTATGGACAGTTAATATGCACTATTCTTTTTACCGCAGACAGTTTTAAGATCAATACAGTTCAATAAAAACAGCAATAGCAAAAAAAAAAAACACAAAACAAACCAAAAAAAAAAAAAAAGTAAAAAAAATTAACTTCTACTTTGAAATAATGAAAAAATCAGGTCTTTTAAATTTCATTCCACAATACATGAGAATAAAAGAGTTCATAAGGATATTCTGGTAAGGAAAAGCAATCACATCTATTTGTTAGAAATAAGAATTGTGAAAATGTTGTTCTAATGAATCAAAAAAAATTGCCAGCAGATTTAATGGTAATTTATCTGGTTAAAGACTTGGGCCTAAAATTGTGAGAGTTCTGGATTTGTATCCTACAGAAAAGACAATTTAACTAATATTCACTACTCTAATTAGGTAAAGGAGAAGTAATGCATATCCATGTTCATTCAGAAAACATAGAAGAAAATGTAAGATAAACCTTTTGTCTTATTTCAAAAGTTATTTGTTCTGTAATAGGATAATTTTAAAAATATATATGAATTCTTTGAAAATATGTGCAATACTTTTTTTCCTGCATATTTAATGAGAAAAATCATTTCCACTTTTGTTTATCTCAATTTAAATATGCTTCTTGTGCTAGAACAATGTTTCTGTGCTTGAGTTATATGGGCTTGATGGCATATAAACAATGTTTTCATTGGCAAATCAACAAATTTTCTATTGATAAATTTCTATAACATTGGAGAAAACCTTCCAAAATTAAATGCTAGGCCTCAGCTGCCTGATTTTGTAAACTTTTAAGCAAAGGAGGTAAATTAAAATTTTATTGGAACTGCAATTATTAATATGTGGTGTATAACTATTAAACCCAAATTGATTTAAAGCATACAGTAGTCTAGCTAATATATCATCCTCTCCCCAAAAGAGCCATTCATGAGTGGTACTGAAAGTGTGAGTGCTGCTTTATTTGGAAAGAGACTGCCAATCACACAATATATTCATTTACTTTTTATTGGCCGTCAAATATTCACAACTAGCCTGATGGTTTTTTTCAGAACTCAAATTAAACAATTTTGAAGTATTTGTGATTTGATCATACAACTCCTTAAAGAGCCTTAAAAGTGGTGGTGTACTGAGTTTTAATTGGCTCTGCCAGCAATTCAGCTTCCAAAGCCACTGCCCTTTCTCTGCTCTACCCCTGAAGTCATGCAGTTGGGAGTGACTGAGGTGCTATGATTTACTCTGCACCCCCTGCACTGCCTGCCCAATGCCAAGGAAAAGACTTCAGCAGGTTTCTGGGGTCCTACTGCTGCCTCTCTTTCTCCTGTGCATGCTGGGAAGCAGAGTAAATTACATTTTGCATCCACCTAAACATGCTTATTTAGGTTGAGTCCCTGCAAGAGGTGCATGATAAAAATAATCACAACACATGTCCATGAATTTACAAGCCCAACACTGTAATTACTGATTTTGTAGCATAACAATGCAGGATGTGGGAAGAATTGTCTAAATACACAATAAGCCATTTAATTTTGTTAATTGTAGCAATTAGACTAGCTCTCATGAAGCCCATTCTCTGAGCAGAAAGCCAAATGGAGCAAGTAAGTGGCAAACAGCCATTTATATACCAGAGACACTATGTTATGAAATCATCCCTTGATTGTCTATAGAACTATGTCTTTCCATTATGGCATTGAGTCCATTCCTCTTTATGCTGATAAAACAGATAAAATGCAAAATGAGAACAGACTCTTTTAAGTCTGTGAATTAAAAAACCTCACAACAGATTTCTGCAGTCCGTATAGTGATTTTCTTTTTTTTTTAAAACAAATTCCATCATCATTTTCACTTGGCTGCAAATTGCTGAGTGATCTGCTCCTGAGATGATTCCTCGCATCTGGTATGAGCAGATTTCATTACAGGAGAGATGGACATGACCTGATAAAGCCTTGCACACACAAGATTAGGGAAATAGTGTCACCAATCTACAGGTCATTCACAAAGCTTTTTTTATCACGTGAGGGGTCCCCGAGACCATTTGTTTTACTATAGGGACCTCACTGCAGGTCTTTGGTGGGATTTCTTCACAGTTACACTGGTATGAATAGGAGAAAATCAGGCTCCCGGCCTTGAGTGAATAACCACATGGGTTCAGACCATGGTAGTGAAAGTTTTCACTTCCTAGCTCCAAACTAAATTCAGCAGATGTGCTTCATACCAAAGAGCCTGAATATCATCGCTTGGCTCAACCATAAATACATCCTCTAAACTTAGTGCTAACATTTCTTCTTATTTACTTTTTAGTTCAAACATTTAAGAATAGACATACCCATTTTGACCAAATAGTCATTTTATGATCCTTTTAAGGAGATTTTGAAAAATGTCTCTGAAACCACACATTTCCAGTGATAACAAAAATCAGTTGCTGACCAGTGCATTCATTAAAAGGAACTCATTCTTAACATGCAAGCTTGGTTCCTGTACTTGTGGTTTTTTTCTGAATGCTTAGCATTTAATTCTTATGCAGAGGATCTTATATACCCATTAGTAAGCCATGTGCCTACTCTGCATCCTGAAGCAAAGAGGAGAGATAAACAAGATGCAAGGAGAAAAGTCCTCTTCAGCACATTTATGGAGTGATTTGCATGAGCTAGAGAGGTAAGAGAAGCTTACAACAGAGTTATTGATCCTGTATATATCAATAGAGATTTACAAGAAGTTGTGAGATAAGTGGCCAACTAATAGATCAAATCTTAACTTCTATATGCAAGGTACTGTAAAATAAAAACAGACAAAAAACTTAAAGCCAAAATCTAATTTCTAGGAATGGTTGGGATAAACTTCAAAATGTATCGGATTTGTCAATATAACCAGATGCTACATTCATAGAAAGGAAAACATAACTGCTACGGATACATACATTTTTTGTATCTGTAGATTCCGACCTCTTATTTCAGGTATCTTTGGAAGCAATTGCTGCTGGATCTTCCTTCTGGGAATGCTGTAGCCCTAGGCATTCTAGCAGCTTTTCTACACAAGATGTGTTTTCTGTAGGAAAGTCTACATTCTTTTAAAAAGCATAGGGCTTGGGGTTTTCCTTGCACTGAGCTAAACCTCACAAAAGCATTTTAGTGAAAAAGAGGTGTGTCCACTCAGCCACCTTGTGTGTAAAAGGTACTGCAAAATGTATTTTCACAGATAAGTGATTTCCTTGAGGTAAACAAGCTGCTGGTTGAATGTCTCGAAGAGCTTTCAGAGATGTAACACAGTGCTAAAGCATGACATAGGCTCTGTGTGGGTGCTACGAGTCCACTCAGGGCAAGGCCTGCTCATAGTCCAGCACTCTCTTCCCCCACCTCATGCATCAAAAAAACGCAGAGATAGGAATACCATGTGCATGGGCTGGACAAAAGCCACGACACACAGGGACCAGATATCTCGCATGCTGCAGTACACATGCAGAGGTCAGTGCAGGCATGTCGGGGGCCTCAGGTTATCCTGTGATCCTCCAAACTGCACTAACCAGGAGCTCCTCAACATTTTGTGCTAGGTGTTCAAGCACCTAAAATTTGGCTCCTGAACATGGTCTTCACAGCACAGAGTAGCTTATCTCCTATGTCCTACCTAAGCCTGCCAGGATCCCCTGAGCAGGTATTCTACCCATCACAGCTTAAGGAATCTGGTCCTCTGAGGTGCTACCAGATAGACCTTTACACAGAAATACTCATGACTGCTTTTCCAGCAGTAGATTTGTGGTAAGCAGAGACAAAGGGGAGAGCCAGGCTCAGTTCTCTCTTCAGCTAGCAGTGATTCATCTCTCTAGCTACTATCTCTCAGGGGAAGGTTATAGGGCTGCACACTACTGAGGAGAAGGGCATACTCCCTCCCTCTTATTCTGAGGCTGTTCGTCCTCTTTATGGAAAATCTAAAGGTTATCCTGTGCAATGTAAATATAGTTCTAGTAATTTGGTGCATTTGGTCTCCTCAGTATTGAGGACCAAACTTGTTGCACACATCCAGTGCCATTGCCTGCATCCAGCCCAAGTAATGTCTACAGTAAACATCTGGGGCAGATGAAAAATCACTCTGCTCACCTTCCAACCTGACCAAAAGCTATATGAACATGGTTAGCACTGTGACAAATTCTGAATCTCTATACACTGCCTTGCATCAGGTCTATTAATGCACTGTGTGCTATTCTGGCCACGTTCGCCTGGATTCTCACTGGAGCTCAGGCAGACTTCATGTGTGCACCAGAGCTACACTATGTAGCTTATCCATTGTTCCTTGAGCCTTTGATGCACCTCCCTTGAAACGCCAGTTCTTATGCCAAACAAAGATCAGTCTGGGCTGAGTAAAGAGCAAAAAGACTGTATGCTGGCTTACAAAAAGGCTGAAGCATGTGGAGCAGACATGGCTTCTCTGAATGATACATTTGAGCTGCAGTTGTGTACAAATTGACAAGGTTATGGTGAATGCAAGAAGCAAGTTCAGTGCCCACAGTTTGGAGCAGGCTATAAAAAATACTCTTTGTGAAAGTGTTTTTTTTCTCACAATAAAAATGGCAGGATCATATCCCATACTTGGGAGTAAATTTACAGTATCAAATGCATTTTAATATATATACATATATATATGTGTGTGTGTGTGCATATGCAAATGACAGTGAGTCCTGAGATTCTATTAAGATTTGATCTTACAGTTCATTTACATTCTAAGCCTAGAAAAAAAGCACCAGGAGCATCATCATCAAGGGTAATCAAGAGCTGACTGCACAAAGAAAAGAACAATATTGCAAAACACATTCCAGTCATTATTGGAGACAGCTTTGTTGTGTATTATGCCAGCACTTGAATGAAAAGTTGTGGAGGAAATATGTCTAATGCTATATTTCATCATCCTAAGCATTGCTAAAAGAATAGAGGGGCGAGTAGACTTGTGCAAAATAAATAAGGATTTATCACAGTTGATCAGAGAAAAAAAGAAAAGACAAATAGCAAAAGGATCAATTAAACCTTTGTTTCATATAGTGTTGGTTGTATTTGTTTCACTATCAGTTATCAATGTCAGTAGTTTATGAAGGAAATAAACTGCAATGATTAGGTCGGTTTACTTGAATTTCAACTGAAAAACACTGAAGAGTGTTTGTTATCCAGCACATAAGCAGTTGCCTAATACATGCTCTCAGAAGGAAAGATTTGCTATTTCATGGATAATGTACTGAAGATAAATTTCTAATGCATGTGTTTGAAAACAATACCCCATCAATTTAAATGCACCATGCATACACAGTAACTATTTCTGAAATTTTAATTACTGTTCTATTTTCAGTATGTGTTCTGCATTATCATCTGTGTGTCCCAGACTGTTTTTTAGACAACATTTGATAAGGATTGATTTTAAATTTTAGGAAGCTGAGGAAAAAATTACTAACCATTGAAGGCATTTGCTGCACTGAAGTTCAGGTATATGTCCCGAGTTCCTGATCTGAGTGACCATTCAGCAGTAAGGATAGTGTTTGAAAAACTATAGTAACTTTTCAACAGTGTCAGAGTTATAGACAGGTAGGTCTAAAATTGTCACAGAGACTGGGTCAGTAGCTGCAGAAGGGAAGTTCAAAAGTAGTCACTAATGACTACACTAATGACTCCTGACGTTGTTCCCTGCATTTCCATTTTGGGACACACATAACCTTCCTGCCGGCCAGTGTCCACATGTGCTATGATTAGTCCCGGCTTCAGCACTGCAGGCATTTGCCCTTGCTGAAAAGGAAGACAAAGTGGGCGTCTTGTTTCCAGCTGCAGTTCCCTCTGGGTTATCGAGCTGGCCCACATGGGATATTTCACTGAGAACACTTTAGCCATCAGTGAGATTGTGGTACCTATTTGGGCAGGACTTAGCCTTTAAACAGCACTATATGAACAATGAAAAATCTTCCTTTGTCAGCAGAGAGGGCAGCTGCCACTATTTATAGTCGCACAGTGCCAGCATATTGTCATGTACTTGTGGCTGCTATCGATTCCTCCTTTTTTATTTTATTGGAACAGCTTGGAACTTGTCAAACTTTGCTTAGGTTGATTTGCAGCTAATTAATTCAACAGACATTTTTAATCTTGTAAATTTGTGACTTGTAATACACTAATCAAGCTCCTATGAGCAAACATTAATCAGTTAGGGGGAAAAACAGAAAGCTGTTGTTAGCTGTGTTCAGCATGGTGCCCACACTGGAAAGAGTGATCTAGAAGAAATGCAACATTAGCAAATTCATCCTAGCTGAGCTTTCATCATTCATCTTATGAATCATTCATGCATTTGATTTGTTTCGTACATACAAGGAGTTGTATTTAAAAGAGGATTGTTGGGATTGAGACAGCTCTCATTACCATCAATGGGGAACTGGCCACATTTCCTTCTGGTCATCTATATCAACAAAGAGTTGTTCTACCCAGCAGCAGTACAATTTAATTTCTGAGATTACTGTGCTGGTTGTGGAAGAGTGTATCCTGGAGAAATGACTGTAACAAAACACATTTAGCAATAGCACTAATGGTGCTGGGTGTTGGACTGGAGAAAACCTTTATTCATTGGTTTTGACACACAGGTGGATTATAGCTACTTTGACACATTAAGCAGAAGGAAAAAAACACATAATGTTGCCTGTACCAAAGCAAAGCATTTAAGCCCTTTTATAAGCAGAAAGGATGTAGGTTAGTACACCTGCAGTTTATAATGATCAGTAGGAATGAGTGAGTGGTTTAATATTTAACCTAACTCTGGTACTTGGAGGAACACAGTTTCAGCAACACAGGACTTGGCAAGAGCTTACATCTTGTCTGTACCCCCTCCTGGTAAGGAGTTTTCAAGCAGGGTGCTGTCAGAGCCCCCTCTGGTCTGTCTGCAGGGGGTGCACGTGTATGTACCTCAATGAGTAATCTGTACACATTTTATCGTGGAGGCTTCTCCACTGGGACCTCTAGCACAGAGGCCAGAGATCAAAAAGACAGAAAAGCAAAGGGATGATTCCTCCAGTCAAGATTAAGAGATGTTTGTGAAATACAGTGGAAAAGCTGCCCCTGCTGTTTCAGTGGATAAAGGGAGGAGAGGAGTCTTTTAACAGCAGAAAAAAAACACAACATACCAACAAACCTTAGTGCCAAAATACTATTTATGGTGCAATTACTCGCTCCTCAAGGAAAGATGTTGACTGAGAAAATTCTGTATATGTTGCGAACTGGAACACACAGGGAGACATGAAAGATACTTTTTAGATGTAACTTCGTTGCTATTGACAGGAGTGGTTTATTAGCAATAAGATACAAAAGTGTCTCAAACTATGGCCTGGGAGACAAGGATTTTGTATGGCTGTTACGCCAGTGATTGTTAAATGTAGAAATCAGCTCTTTATAGTAGATTATAGGTCGAAGAACTTTTTTTATTATTATTTTCTTCACAGAGGATAAGTCTCAGATGGCTTTCACAAAAGAAAAGAAAAAAATGAGAAAAAAACACATAAGTTTTAAAATAGGCTCAGAAGATGGGCTTTTCTATATATGGAATATTGTAGGCTTGGTGTTGTTCAAGTGCTTGTGCCTTTTCTCAGGCTCTCAGTGTCTCATGCAGTACGTCCAAAAGCAGATAGCGGATTTGCAGGTGCATGTTCCTTTAGTGAGAATAGTCCTCACATTAACTTGTTCATGCACAGCTGAGAAGTGCATACATGTGGAGGTGTGCACTTGTAAAGGTGTAGAGCAGGAAAAACACTAGCAAAGATGAAGATCAGTATATGATGTGGTAGAAGCATTATTATAATTAGGGAAAAGCTGTGAGTCTTTAGAGTAGGTAACCTATTTGTTATGTATTTGTTCGTGCTCAGGTATTTTGTCACTCAACTCATCATGGAAATTACTGGTGAAGGAATTCCAACTATATTAGAAGTTAGCATCGATTCTTGCTTGTTTAGAAGCAGGAACAGTATCATCCTGATTTCAGCTGAAATCGCTATAGAGGCATCCATATCTTAATGCATGATCTGTAAGTGTAGCATATCATAACACATCTGTTTTCTTCAAAGATTCACTCAAACGAGTTTGCAAAATTTACTGATCTTTTTCCTTACTTTCATTTTCCTCCTGTGCTTGAGTCTCAGATGCAAACCTCAGTGAGAGAAGACAAAGCTCAGGTTATTTAACAGACTTTTTTTTCTCACATTGTAGTACAAAACTTAGAAATTCTTTTGTCTAACGCTTGGCTATTCAGATAACCTCTATAGTTAGAGAAGGAGATGCAAGTTAAAGTTGCAAATACTGAAGGAATTTTATCAAGTGCAAAGCAGGAACATTTTTAAAGATAGCTGTCATGTCTTGCTGCTCAACTGATCTTACTTCGTCATTCCAAAGCCCTGGTATATGCCCAGAACAACCTAGAAGTAAATATATTTTGTTTCTGAGATCATTTCTGAATCACAGAACAGGCAGTAACTGGGGGTGATGTTGGATTAACAAGCAAAGATCTATCATCCCACTGCAGTTCTTTAACAGGATTGCAGTTCCTTCAAATCGATTCCCATTGATTCTCAAGGGCAGAGACTGTCCCCTATGTAATTTGTTTTACTTGTGGCAACAGATATTCTTCTGTCTATTCTTTGAGTTGTCTATTATTAACAAGCTAATGTCTATTCTAACGAATGAGCATCACTATTTTCCTGCAGGTACCATTCCATGTATAAGGCTGCTTCAACAGTGGGAGCTGGCTCTGTTCTTCCTCCCATGCTTGCTTACCTGACTCTTTAATCAAATGCTAACTTAACAATTCTTATTTCTCACACTGCAGAGCCATGCAAAACACAGTTGGACTTCTGGATTTGACCCATGGCATTAACAAATGGGAGAGTCATCTTCTCACTGTAAGCTGAGTGCATTGGAAATGGTACCCACTGGGAAGCAATAAACACAGTTCCTAACCTTGCTGATTTTATAGTCATTTTCCAGAGTGCAGCTGTGGTTTAAAACTTTGTGCAGGTCTCTGTAATCTTCTTTTATTAAAAAAAAAAAGAAAAAAATAAAAAAAAGAAAAAGAAAATAAACCCAACTTTAATTGTTCTTCCACAGTAATTGTTCTCTTGAAATTTGTGATGTGCAAGGAGAATGTCAGTTAATTAACATTAGACATTCTGAATGGATTCCTACGAAAACTATTTATAAACCCAGCAGTAATTAAAAAGAACAGATTTTCCAGTTATTACAGGATACGTATGTATATACTCAGATAAGGCTCATTTGTGCATTCTTCCACCGTTCATCTCTTAAGATACAGAACTCAAAGTTTGTTTTCAGATTGCCTGGTGAATTTAATCTGTTTAGAGGAAATGTGTACATAAGTGCTTATAGGCTATTAGTAAAACTGGTGAGCCTTCAAAGCAATTTTATGAGAGTCAAAGGATCCTAAAAGACAGACTTGGTATCAGTTGTGCTTGCAAAACCTTCTTGAATGATCTACGGCTAAGCAAAAAATCAAGCTAAAAGACATTCTTAAAGGACTGAGAAATTCTGCCTGGTGAACATGTCAATAAGTTATACTTACACCAGCACTCTGGACAGAAGCATTTATTGTACTGGGATTTGCTTGGGTTACAGGCAGTTTATAATCATAAAGGGCTTCCCTGAAGGTCCACCATAGCAAATGGATTACTTTCTTTCTAGTTTATTGGAGTCCAACAAGCCTCAGGAGTAAGCATGTAGGCATTTTGGCTTTAAATTTCACAATGCCTAAGTAAAATTTACTTTTAAGGAATCTCTTTAATAACTAGTTTACGGCTCACTTGAACTTTGCTATCAAGTGAAACTGTCAGTTATTGTGCAGAAAATACTGATTAGGCTAAGTCAATGAAAACGTCTGTGGAAATGTCTCATGTAAAAAGTCTTTGTATTAAAAAACAGTCCACTGGAAATAATACTAAAGCGTTTCTAGGTCTTCCAGTTCTGTTAGTCACTGGATGAGGCCCAGATACCTGCCTGGATTCCAGGATAAATTAAAATAGTTGTTTAAATTTTCAGACAGCTTATTAATATATTAATAATATTTTATGGTTTTATATTTTAAAAGTATCCTTTAAGCTATATATTTCAATGTCAAAAAAACAATCCACATCTCTCTATAAGGCTTAAGTCACTGGGCTCAAGTCACTGGGCTCCAGGTCAGAAGGGGAAAAACTGGACAAGTTAGGGAGGGACATTTTATCCTAAGCTCAAGAAAGAGTCCTCCTGCTTTTCCCACCAGCCTGCTACCCCAGCCCTCCACAATACCACCCTGTCATGCTTCACCACAGAACCCCCTGAAAATGGATATAGGATTTGGATCTTGACAAACTTCTTTAGTGCTGGGTCTCACAGGAAGAGGATGGAGGCGCCTCGATGGCATGAGTGTAGGATCAGGCAGGTGGTGGCAGATCCTCTCTTCTTCCAGTTTCTCTAATGGCTGCCACTGACACAACTGAACTGTGGATGGGAAGAGGAACTGCTGCTTCTTGGGGCAGATACTGTTTGTGAGTCAGGGGTTATTATTTGTAGCATGTCTCTGTGAAAAGGAAAGGCAGCAAATAAAAGTTATGACACAGTGAAGAGGATGCCTGCGTATGTCAAATACCCACAATACCAAAACACTGGAACATCAAGCTGGATGCCTAGGCTGTAAAGGTTAGTGCTAAGAACATAAGTTTATGACATGGTGCAATGCAGTACTCTAAGATGCAGTTTTAGTTTTGCAAATTGATATGCATAGGGAAGAACAAAGGATTGCCTTTAATGTTGTTTCACATGAAGAAAAATATTTTTACATCCATTTCAAGTGTGACTTTTGGTGTCTTTGTGTTTTACTAAATAAGGCCTGAAAAATAATTCTTTCCCCTTCAAAATCAGAGCATCTTTTTCTGACTAGGTTTACATAAATCTACAAACCCTTGACCTCTCTGGGAAACTGAGATTCTCACAGCTCCACTTCTTTCCCCGCCTCGAAAAATCTGAGCAGGAACAGGAACTCATGACAAACATTTTGAGGAAAGCTGCAATACCCTGCCACATCAAGAAATCTCACACTCCAGTTTCCTAGTTTTCCACTAAGTTCTGTGGCAAGAGCAGGAAAAATTAAGGCCACAATGTGCAGGATATGCAGATATAATTGCAATTACCAGCAGCTCTGCCACTGCGGTACGTAAATTCAGCTCACTGAGAACATCATCAGTGACTCCTCATTGTGGGCTGCCAGAGATGAAGCTGGTCATAATCCCACATCACTTTTGAAAATTGTAATCAAAATAAAGGAAGCTTAGAAAGGTAAAATTAAGAAAAAGGAAAAAATTAATTTCAGGTTTTTCTTGTTTAATAAAAGTACTAATGCATTTTTCTGTGTCATAAGTTACATGTAAACCATATGCACATGCTTCAAAGTTCAAACACTATGTTTTCACAGGCCAATCAAAAACAAGCCTCACCAAAGCTATTTCAGGTTGTTATGCTCCCTAGTGTGATTTCTTCAAGCCAGGCACCTAGTGCAGATCTCATGATAACAAATTGCACGTACCCATGTTGTAACCATCAGCGGTGGGATCAAACTGTAGGACCCAGAAAAGCGAGCACATTGCATGTTCAGTAACAGGATGTATAAGGTTATTGATACTGAAGTCAGGAACACATCTCCAATTTGTCTTTTTCCTACAAGTAGGGTTTGTTTGTGGTGGTTTTTTTGTGTTGAAATTCATTCCCAGAGCCTGAAGTCTTTTCTTGCATTTGCACACTCAAGTTGTGAATTTCAGTAGAGAAAACTACCTGCTCCTCTTCCTAGGCAGGAATGGCAGGAAACGCTGGGTCTGCCTTTGTGCCAGGGGCTGTTAGCTGGCGCTCTGAGATCATGATGTGAGCCCAAATCCTTGCTCATCCTTAGTGGACTCAAGCCAACACTTTCCTGGAGACTGTCCTGTCTCCAAGAGGGGGAACACTGCCCCTCTCTCCAGATGAGAAAAGGTCACAGTGATGGCTGAAACGCAGTGTTGTTGAGCATGAGCAGGAAGGCCGGAGAGGAGCTGTGATTCTGTGGTCCAAGGTGGAGGCTGACCATCAGTTTAAAGACTGCTAGGCTAGGTGTGTACACACAGGATCTTCAGGAACATCACATGGGGGACCCCCAGCACATGGGCACATCCCACATTGGAACCAGATACATCCTAGGCAGGCTCCCAGGACATCTATTGGATCAGTCCGTAGGAGGCACAGGCACAGTATCCCTAGCCCTGTGACTCTCAGGTGACCCTGGTGGAGGATGGGTGTGTAGAAGCCCACCCAAGCTTAGATGGTAGCCCACCTTCAGGCATTCACAGTGTATTTCTGCCTTCGAGGAACTGCAGTCCCACAGGTCAACCAGATCTTATATGATGCCTAAATGGCTTCCTAACACTATTAAAAAAGCCTGAAAAAAATGCACATGAAAATAGACTCAAATACTTGAAATTCAAATTCCAAGAGTATATTCTGTGTTCATTCCTATGTTATTATTACCAAACCCATTTTCTTCTCAGAAATCATAAACTTTCCTGCTTTAAGTTGTTGAATGATACAAAGTTAATTCCAAATGAGTTGATTTTTTACTGTATCTGTCCTGGGTTTAGTTTGTTCAGTTATTTTTCATAAATGCATTTTACATCTAACTACCTCAGCTGCCTTTTGGTTTGTTTTGGCGCATATGAAGTCATGCACTTTCTATATTCGGGGATTTGGGGGGAGTTCTTTCCATTTTGAATAACCAGGTTCAAAGCCATGTTGATCGATTTATAGAGGAGATCAATTTAACAACACATAGTTATTGACAGCTGCAGAACATACATTTTATTTTTAGGTTCTGTTGGAGTATAGTTTAACAAAAAACACCATAAGCTGCTTATTAATTTGCCTTAAAAAATGTGTGCTCTTTCCTATTCAAGTTGTGTTAACTCTTTTCTTGTACACAATTTATGTGGCAGAGACTAACGTAACAGTTGGCAGATAAACAGCAAATTGAACAGAATGGACCAATAGTTTCTCAGTTCTCTGTTGAAAACTGTTGCATTATACACTGATTGTGCTAAAATAATTGTTACTGTGCTTATACTCCTTAGTCACCTTTGCGGAAATGAAGTGACGAAAGATCATATTTGTGTTTATGGAACAGTGTAGATATCCCCCCAGTACAAGCACAGTGACTTGAGGTGAATGATAATCATTGCAGAACTTGTGCTTTGACTTGTAAACATTGTAAAAATGTATTTGGTATTTTATTTGAAATGAAGAATCAAAATAGTTATTAAAAAAAAGAAAGAAATCTTCGTGTAAATATATATATTCTGAATCCATGTATACAAACATTCCTTTAGAGTTCAGATTGTGAAGAGTGTCTTTATTGGCTAGAGACCCCTGCCCCGCGTGGCAGAGGTTACATGTGCTATAGTAAAGAACACAGTGTGTGAAGTATTTGATGTACTGCAGTACCATAGTTATTTTGGTCTGTTAAGTAAGTTGCAATTTGTGATGAAATGAAGTTGAAAGTAGTGCTTCATACTAACAAATTTCCTTGGTTACAACTTGATTTTTCTTGTAAAACTTAAAAGGAAAACTTGAAAATTTTATATATTTGGATTTTGTAGATTTTTTTTAATTTATTGCAACACAAGGTACCAAAATCATTAAATAAAGTACACTGTGGTCATTTTACCACGGCTCTAGAGTCTTTTTTAAAACACTTTTAACCCTGGTAATCAGCAAAAGAATGCTAACTTTTGCACACCTGAAATTATTACCAAACACAAGACAAAAGCTGACCCAGTATGGACAACAGTTTGGGACAGATGATCTGGCAGCATCCCATAGCCATGCTTCCACTCCCTCTACGATGCTACTTCTTGGCAAGTGACCAGGAAAGGAAGATTACAACACCTAACAACTAAATAATAAGCATGAGTTCAAAGAAAGGAAAGAATACATACGTATACATCTTGGGTATATGAATTTAACTGCAGGTAGGGATGCTATGTGATAGCTTCTTCAAGGTTCTGTTTATCACAGTATCTTGTTGTTTGTCTAGAGGTATGAAGGGTCTAGTTTGTTATTGTAGCTTAACAAAGCATAATGGAGGGAACAGCAGTCCACACCATTGGTAGCTGTCTTATTTCAAACTGTCATGGTTTAACCTCAGCCACATCAGGCCATCTGTATCATAGGCTTTGTATCTGTTCTTAAGCAGTAGCTTTTTTCAAGATGAAAATATTTCTTATTCATGGGAGACTACACACACAAAAAAAAAAGAGGACAAGGGGATGCTCATATTTACTGTGTCTTCTAGTAATCAAGTAATTTGTTTTTAATTGAGCTCTTGTTAACTTCTGTAAGTATAAACTATACTGCCATGATTACACCCAAGAAGTATGTAGGGCTTTCCACTTCTGTGTGATCGCTACGTTTGGTCGTAGGACTTACATCATTAACCAAGTAAACCAGTTTATGGAAGGCAGGATCACTGACAGTGTCCCGAAACAAGGAAGGATAAGCTTAAGTACATTACTGTTATAAATACTAGAATTGAGCTAATGGATCATTACTGATATTGTGGGCTGCTGTAGTTAGTCTTCAAACTATTTCATAGTTTTAAGTAAATTAATTTCCTGTGTCTGTGAAGACTATAGCAGTCCATATTCGGAATTTGATCTTCGTTAAATTCCACAGGTCATCTAGGCACTGGCCTGAGATAATTTGTAACATCCTTCACTACTGGGGATCTGGCAGCAGCCACTGTTAGTAGTTCTCTATTTCTTCACTAGCATTGGCCCTACTTCATTCCATCAGTTCACTTCATGCACTCTTCTGACATGCCAGTGGATCCACCATAAGAGTGAAATGAATGTCATTTCTCTTCCCTGGGCTAGTGTGATACCAGAGGCACCATGACCAGCCTCAGCTTATCCACTCTCTGCAAACCAGCTATTTCACAACTTGTAGATAGATGAGAGTAAGAGGGAACATCTGGAGGCACCTTGAGATTGAGCGAGCAGCATTATGCAGCTCAGGCCTTCCTTATTGCATGTTTGTCCCTACTGATCCTTCTTTCTCTTGTCTGAGAACTTGTAACTATTCCAAGATTCTCCCTTTAAGGCATTTTCTTTTTGTGTTTGTTTGTTCATTTGCTTTAAATTCCCATTTGTCTCTGATATTTGCTTTGATGTTTTCCTTTGGGGATTTGTTTTTGCTTTGGGCTGTGCTTGCCGTCCATTCTGGTTTAGTCTACATTTCAAATGCTGTCACCTTTTTGTGCTGATTTTGCTTCAAGCCAACCACGTTGGTGCAGCAGTGGGAGAGGAGCTTTGTGGCGTGTGGCTTTGTCAGAGATCTAACATCCTAACAATGTCCTGATAAAAGCAGGAAAATTATCCCATGTTAATTCATGTTCTCTGGCAGTGCTTTGTTAGGTACCCTGTGCTGTCTTCTGCCTACAGTTTCACCCCAGGATCTGTTGTGGTAACCTGGAATTTCTTTGGCTTTTGTGTGTGACGCCACCTAGTCCCTATTTTAAAGCCTAAAAAAGAACCCCAAACCAAAAAAAAACTCAAAACAAGGAGAGCCTGCCTTAGCTGGGCCAGAATGTCCTACAGCACTCACCATTGCCAAGGAATGCAAATAATTGCCCTGTACTTAAATTCTGCTATCACATAAAGCACATAACATGCCTTAATTACACCCCTTAATGAGCATCTCCAAATATCATATCCATGTGAGCAGCAGACACAGTGCAATGTATTCTGTGTTTGTAAAGGAAAAACAAGGTTGAAGCTTGATTTCCGTGTTATGGTATAAAGGCATAAATGGGCTGGTTTGGCTCCCATGAGAAGCACTGGTGCTCACACAGGGGTTACAGCTCTCCCCTCTTTGCCCCAACAGATAGCAGGCAGGACATCATTGGCAATTACAAATAAATAACCTCACGATTATATTTTCTTTAAAGTGTCATGAACAACTATGTGTAATAATGAATCAGGTTGGGCTTCTGATCTTTTATCTGATCCACCTGATCGTTAAAGATATAATTATGCAGCTCTCCTGTATCTAAGTAGTTATCAGTTTTTTACATTTGGGCACATCACCCTATACCAAACTGTTACTCTGTGCTGGTAAGACATGAGATTTCAGCGATAACGGCTTCTACAACACCACAGTAGGACAGGATTTCTTTAAAGTGGTGTACTGTATAGCATATAGAATTAACTTACCTTGCCTGCAGAGCATGTCTGTGAGGCTTTGTGGCAGAAAGAATTACGGAATGAAACTTCTGTCTTTGATTTCCATGTATGGATTGCTAGAATCAGACATCTTCAGAATATAGCCAAGTTAATGGCAAATGTTCATGGAAATCTAGCGATCCAAAGAGTGTGGTCCTCCAGATTTGTTCTCAGTGCTCAGCTGGACTTCTGACACACCATTTGCTTTTCCTCACCATGGTGGTGAGGAAAATGTGGGCTGGGGAGCAGGGAACAGAAAGGACCAGTTCTGCTCCTGTTCATCCCATTACCCAGTCACCTACATGATGTTACTTGCAGCTTCTGCCTATTTAAAATGTTCTTGTGCCTTCTGCCTGGGACAGAAGCATTGCTGCATGATCTGGATTTGTCCCACTGACCATGCAGCCCTGCAGAGTTGCACAAGGGCAAGCTGTCTGGCAGGAATTTGCAGTCCTCACCTCATGCCTGCCTCAGTTTAGATGGAGATGTGGGCTAATCATCCATCTGGTCCAGTACGGCACATCCCTCCCCTGAGTGGTGGCTGAGAAGTCACTGCATTGTATCTCCAATCAGGTATGCCATTAACCTGGCAGTGCATGCAAGTAGGACATGAGAAACCTCAATTTTAAATGAAACTTTTTCAACACAGTTTTGAATATGGATCTCATAAAACCTTTCTTCAATTAGCTTTTCTTGCATAGATAGTTCTTTTTTGCCAGCAGCCTATGCCACAGTATGCTTCTGACTGTGCATAGGAATAATAGACTCTCTTTCCATTCCTGCCTGAAGCAGAATTAAAATAGGAAGGGAAGTGTTTGGTTGCACTTTTATCTTTTGCAGTACTTTTTCTTGTGTGCACATGTGCAACATCTTTTGAGATCATAGCTCTCATATTTCCTAAAGGAAGAGGAATTAAAACCACGACAGCCTTAGAGAAAAACAAAAAATCTTGGAAGAACATAAAAGTCTTACTTTCATTACAGTTTGCCTTGAAGACTTTACCTGACATTTCTCTGCAACCTGAGTTATCAGAAGCAGTAATTTGCCCTGCATTATGTACTACCTTGATTCAAAAGAAATACTAAAGAGGTGCCATTTGGATTCATCCAGGAAGCCAGATCTCAAGGGAAATGCTCTGCCTCTTCTGAAGGCAGATGGTGTGTGGGGAAGAAAGCAGAGAAGCTTTTGGGCTCATGATCTATCTGTTATTTATCTTGTAACTGCCAGGGATGAATATACAAAGACTCTGCCTAGGTGTCAAGGTGTAAGTGTACAGATCAGATCGTGTAGCAGGAGCAGGAAGAGCCAGCAAGGAGGTACAGCTGATCAGGCATAGTAGGAAGGAAGCCAGGCATCATCACTGCTGCCTTGCCAGAGATGATCCATGGCAGGGCAGTGCTCCATGTCCTGACACTTTCCACATCCCATACATCTGCTTTTTAAGCAGAGGCTGTGAAGATGAGTTTTTCATACTGGCTTTTTCAGGCCAGATCAGGCTGCATGAATAACTTGCTCCCTATCTGGAGCTTGTACTGCTGCTGCCTTGGATGCCACACAGCATGGAGCTGAGCTCTTCCTGCAAGCTGTCAGGACGTGGATGCAGTATTTTGTGTGAGTGCTCAGAGATGCTCTTCAGCAACATGGTTTTCCACTTGTGCCAAGGCAGCAATCTTTTAAATTCCCTATGCCCTTATTGTGCCTGGCATCGGAAATACTGGCTGCAAACTTTCAGGCAATAAGCCTTGGGGGTGAGGAGGGGGGTAATGAAAAAATGCAGGCCAAATGTTATCAATCCCTCCCTTTTCATGCTGTAAACTTCCCTGCAATAAGATCCTTATTTCACTTACCCTCATAAGCCAGTGAGGTGATACAATATTTGGGGTTTTCCAGGTTATGCATGATGGCATCTTTAAGTGTGGAGTGAGCAGACCTGACCCCAAAAGGTAGGCAGGTAAGGCTGCTTTCAGGCTGGCCAGGGCAAATATCCTCAGGGATCAGGCATATAAAAATGTTTGCCTTTTAGCTTAAAAAGAGTAATAACTGCGCTATTTGAGCCACACTGAGCTATCTTGCATTTTGACAGCTTTTCTAACTTAAGGCAACCTGCCTTGCTAAATATCAACTCATCTCTGTGCTGGCAGCAGCTGAAATCAGTGATGTTTTATTGAAAAATGCTCGTGATGGGGCAGCATTGCTCACTAAAAAAAGGGGGGAAATGTATGTAATGTAAAGGGAGAAAAAAAGACAAAAGCCCAGCACCCTGTGCAGGATCAAACATTTCCATTCCAGATGGGCTGCTGTGAAACAAGTGGATTCTTGGGAGAAAGAAACCTTTGGCTGTTCTTATGAAATACAAGGTAAACCCTGCACATGCACAGGGCATCATGGGATGCCAGGAAAGGGAATCTGGGTCATGGGCATGTGAGTTAACCAGCGACAGTCATG